ACTCGACTTACCATCTTGGTACTAATTGACTTCTCCAATGCCTTTAATTGTGTTGATCATGACCTGCTACTGATGTTACTCTCCCACCTAAACTTCTCGCCGTCAGTACTGGAATGGTTTTCTTCCTATCTTCGTGGTCGCCAGCAGGCTGTGCGCTCCGGGCATGACTTATCTAACTGGTGTGACTTGGTCGCTGGTGTTCCACAAGGCGGTATTCTCTCTCCACTTCTGTTTTCTCTTTTTGTTAATCTTGTTATCTCACACCTCAAATGCTCTTACCACCTCTACGCAGATGACCTACAACTTTATGCCCAAGCTGAACCTAATGCCATCAATGCAGCAGTTGATCAACTAAATGCAGATCTCGACAGTGTATCCCGTTGGTCCCGTCGTTTTGGCATATCAGTTAACCCAGTCAAATGCCATGCGATAATAATAGGCAGCACAAAACTTCTATCCAAGTTAAATACAATCAATTCGTATGTGCGTTTTGAAAATAATGTTATCCCGTTTTGTCACTCCGTTAAGGACCTAGGTATATTGATTGACCCAACACTTCGATGGCATTTACAGGTAGCGGAGGTATCTCGCAGGTTATACAGGTATTCTCCGTGTTCTTTATCGGTTTAAATTCTTTCTCCCACCTTCCACTAAATTGCTCCTTGTCCAATCACTTATACTTCCGCATTTTGATTATGCTGACGTGTGTCTTACTAATCTCTCCCAAGATCAGTTGAATAAGTTGGACCGATTATAGATTAAGATATGTGATAATTATGGTTGTGAGATCCTGTGTACAGTCCTTGGGTATCAACACGGCCAGTGTGTGTCTTCGAGTACATGTCACTGTTTTTAAATAAATGTATATGTTAATTTAAATCTGTATTACTTTTTTAATAGCCAACCGCTTTGCCCACTGCTTTGCCCGTAGCATAATACCTTATAAATATTACTTTCGTAGGATTTACGAGGCAATCTCTTTTTTAACTTTAAATGATAAGCAAATTGCTTGGTTTAACTTTCAATATATTATTATAACAGGATAAGAAGTATGAATTTACAGACATTTACATATGATTAATATAGTTGATCGGGACGAATTATTTTATAGAATATAAGGTATTTAGTACCTTCGACGTTTCGACTAGGTTGCACTAGCTGTGGTCACGAGCTGACTGAGGTACCCCATCTTATCTTCAAAAATGGCAGGGCATGAGTGATATGAGTGATATCACGGGCATCACAGAATAATCTGATGTCCGTGATGATGTTCATGTATATGGGCGGCAGGCACCGCTTTTCATCAGATGGACGATTGCCGAGAAAAGGTGGTGATAACTGTTTGAAATCAAAACTTGCAATTCTGTATTCACATGTCAAAAATGTAAGCGTATCGGAGTTTTCTAAACCTCTTAATAGGTAAATTATAATTTGAATAAACATATCTATGTAGAATAGCTTTAATTTGGATTAATATTAATCAATTGTACAGAATTATTAAGTTTATTTAATTATAATGGATATTAACTAACTAAAGTATATATTATATTTATATAACATAAATTATATATGTACATAGATTTTGTTTGCCTAATTATTTAGTACAGTATTAATATCACAAATTTTTGCCATTACTGCCCTACAACGCTTTCTAGTTCTACCCAAAGGTTAGCTGGTAGAGAATGCCATATGGCATTCTCTACCAGCTAACCTTTAATACTCTTTATAGTGCAATAAAGAATAAAAAAAAAAAAAAGTTGTGAACATCTAATCTCTGAGTATGTAATTATAAATTAAAAGTAATTATTATTTACAAATTTTTTAAAGAAATTCGTTTATGGATTTTTTTAGTTTCTTATATCTTCGACAATAGTCGATCGATTTTGTTAATTTCTGTGATATCAGGGGTACAATATATGTACAATATATATTTTTATGACAGATATAAGAATAACCAAATATATAGTTCTTTCTGTAAGTGTGTATTCGTATTTATTCATTACATCTGTATACGGTATTAAAACAACAGCGGTATATGGACAATTCATAAAATGTTCATTATTTTATCCAATGTAATCCCAAAATAAATTTAAGAAATATTATCTGACTGACTAACATATAAAGATGCCGCGGACAAATATTGGTATGATATATCAGTTAATGTAACGCCGTTTATTTTATAAATTATTATAGAATTTGTCTATGTTGCAGAGGTATATTATATATATTATTCTCTTGTTTCTGGTACAGATGATTCGCGTGCTGAGCAGGAGCGCAGCGTGACAGCCGTGGTATCCAGCAGTCTATTTATACCAATGCAGTTGAAGATATGTGATAATTATGGTTGTGACCACCTGTGTAGAGCGCTTGGGTATCACCACGGCCAGTGTGTATCTTCGAGTGTCTGTCACTGTTCCATGTAATTTTTTTTAAATAAATGTAGGTATATTTCAATAAAATTTCGTATTACTTTTTACTAACTATTCCCACTGCTTTGATCGTGCCATAATACCGCATAATTTCGTAGAATTTATGAGGAAATATTTTCTTAGTGTTTTTACAGACACAATTACAGCGAATCTTATTTTTCAACTTTAAATGATGAGCAAATTGGTTGGTTGAAATGATATTATATTATTATTAGCTGTGCCCGCGGTTTCACCGGCATGAAATTTATACCCTGTATGTTATTCATCTGTATCCGATGCATAGGCTATATTACTGTAAAGTTTCACCAAAATCCGTTCAATAGTTTTTGCGTGAATGAGTAAAAAAATCCCTAATTTCGCATTTATAATATTATATTAGGATTAAGATAAGATAACAAGATAAGAGGATGAATTGACAGATGTTTTATATTATTAATATAGTTGATCGGCTAGTTGACGAATCGACTAACTTGCACTAGTAGTACGACATCTTATCTTCTGAAATGGCAGCACATGAGTGATATTAGTGATATCATGGGCGTCACAGGATAAATTGCTGCCTGTGGTGATGTTCATATATATGGGCGGTGGTCACTGCTTATCATCAAGTGGACTATAGCCAAGCTAAATTTCTTGATAAACATATCTAGACTACTTTAAATACGGATTAATACTAATCAATTGTACAGAGTTATTAAGTTTATTTAGTTATGAAGAGTACTAACTGAGAAGAAATTTAGGTAGAATACTCATGGAACTGAAGTACTTTCATTAGGAAACAAAATAGAATTCGGAAAATAAATTTAGAACTTCCCATACAAAATTGAGGATGTGGCTGTGCAGTTCGTATAATGTCAGAAATATTGATTGACCCTCTAGATATTTAAAAATGACCCGGTGTAGATAGCCCGGTGAACTTTAATTTCCGATAACGACAACAACAAAGATTTTGTATTACATGTAATAATTTATTAATGATTTAAAAGCCATAGACTTCCCATGATATTTAGGCGCAAATAAAGTTTTAATACAATAACTTAGAAAAAAACTTTAGATAAAATGTACACTAGTACAGTAACAATTTTACAAGAATCTTCTTCTGAATGTAACAATCCTGCTTATTGTAATAGATCGAAGATAAAAGAAACATTACAAAATATTTCCAGAGAACATGTGGCTGGCTGAGCGGAGACTTATATGGTACCATAATTAATGATCCAAATTGTATTAAAACTTTTTGTTATATATTTTATGTGTATCAAATAAACATTTTTGTTTTCTTTTTTCAATATATAAATACTGGTATTATTATCTAATTAATATTATTAAATGAGCGGATTGTTTTTATAATGATTAGAAACTGGAGTGTGGGCTGAGACAAGATGAGATATCTTCACACCCACCCAAACTTTTTAATGTGTACATTGATGGCCTGACGAGGCTTAGGAGCATGCAGGCTGGCTGGTTACATAGACGAAATTACCGTTAATAATTTGAGTTACGCTGACGACATGGTGTTACTGAGTTCATTGATTAGTGCGGTTCATAAAATTTTAAATGTTTGTGAGTAATATGCTGAAAAACATAGCTTCAAATATAACAGTATCAAAACATGTTTCATTCTTTCATTCCTTCAAATATGCATGTTTTTCGGTCTATATTCCACCAATTATGTTAAATGGGGTCCATATTAATAGAGTAGCCAAATTTAAATATTTAGGACATATTATTACCGATGACCTAAAAGGTAATGCTGATATTGAACGCGAATTTAGAGCGCTGGTTGTGAGGGGTAATATGTTGTCTCGCAGGTTCGCTCGTTGTTCTATTCGCCTCTCTATAACAGCATTATGAAATGCTGTGTACTAAACATGACAGCAGTTCCAATTGATAATTTATGGACTCAAATTGTTACTGAAGTCTTAAATATTTATATATTAGTTGCAAGTATAAACTTAGATTTATTTGTTACTAACAAATGTTAATCTCAGTATGATATTAATGATAATATTATGTGAATAAAATAAAATACTAATTTATTTAATTATAAATTTAAAATACAATTAATAAAATGCCAGTAGTTTGATATATAATTTAATATAGCTATGTACATAGCAATACATCTACTATTCGAGGCATCTACTAATTTAATGTAATTCGAAGTAGCGATTTCCATACAATATTATCGACCAATCTTTAGAGCTTTCGACTTTTTTTTTACTAAACAACTTCTGTGTCTATTACAGTGAATAAAACTACCCACCAATCTTTACTTAAGATTTAGATTTAGAGCTTTCGACTTCTTTTTACTAAACAACTTCAGAGTTTGTTTAGTGAATAAAACAAAAGAAATAATATTCAGCAGTTCATGAATAAGGAGACAAACTAACAGCCATTGATTTTTTATCTATATATAGATATATCTGAAGTACTTATCAATGTCAATAGGCTATTAATACGATTACAACTTACCATTAAAGAGTTTACGTCTTTATTCTATTTGTGATATGAAGTATTTTTACATAACCGGTCAACGGAGAGGGCAGTCATTTAAAGTGTCTTAGGTAACAATAATGTAGACGTACAGCTTAACAACAGTCCATTAATACCTTCCACCACGATCGGTCTGTCTATAATTTAGTCTATTATATTCTGGTATTTGTAATAGACATACAAGATGAAACTTATCATCCTCGCTTTAGTGACTATGATTGCATTGGGTAGTGCTTTGCCACGAGTAGATCTATATAAATTAGTGATCTCCAACGATATTGGTGAGTTTTATTTTATTTTCTATACGTACCTATAGGTATTATTTGTTAGTGAATCGATTGGAACGAAATGAAAGTTATAAGCTTCCTACTACAAAAAATGTTTGTCATTTAAATTGGTTAAGGCGCTTTTGAGACTGCTTTTTGACGTACTTAAACAATAATATTCCAACATGTGCAGACTTAGGTATCTATGATTTTTGTATACCTAGTAAGATTTCTTAACTAATATAGTTGGAATTGTGTTTTTTTCTTGTGTTATTTCTCGTATGCAAACATAACAGAACCATATAAAGCCTTGATAAAGTATTCACTAAGCTGGATAATGTTGGATTTATTTAATCTGTCAAGGTGTACCAGTAATCAATTAAGAATTGGTTAAGTTAATGCCTTCGTGGTTTAGTGCTGTCTCCCTTGATGATGGTCCAGGTTTTAATCCTTGCATAATGGAATATGATAGGTAATAAACACTTGTATTCATGCTTATAGGATGATTATTGGTCTGACCCGTTTATCTTTTAGATATATTGTATCTCAGTTGTATAGTAGATCTATTCTATCTTTTCTATGGAGAAAAGATAGAATATATCTACTATATGATGGTATGAGGTATGAAAATTTTGTCCAGGATAATTATAAAAAAAACACTGACTTGTGAATATGGCGGCAAAATCAATTGCTTAAACATTTGCTTGCACATTACTTTTGTCTTTCCCCTAAAGTAAAGAATTACTACAAAATTAAGGTAAAATAAAAAAATATATAATTAAATAAGTTTTTCTGTATTCCCTAATTTAAATTTTGTATTTTCAGATGACACGAATGTGAATGATGAATATGATCTCGATAATACTGCGGCAGTATCCCCCAATTTGTACATCCCTATGGAACTTAGGGGTTGCAATAACGTCGGATGTGATAATATCTGCAAGGTACTAGGTTTCAAACATGGCAAATGTGTGTCGGCCAACACTTGTCGCTGTTACAATTAATTTTTGTTATAAAATCGATGTTTATGCGGTTACTTGTAAACTGTACTTATGTTAATCTTTATATGCATTTTGTATTTTAATTAAATTTTTCCAATTATCTAAATAGTTTCTTATTAATACATACTGACATCAACCTACTTACCTAAATGTATCCATGTGTTTGTTTGGCTTTAGTAGATACAGACTAGACACTTTTTGCTAAATATATGAATACTCGCCTCTTGTCTTTTATAGATAAGCTATTCAGACTATTATTTTATAGTTTATCATATCGCACTATTCCTGGAAAAAGGAAGTAAGTGATTTTTACCAACTTTTCAGGAGCTTAAAAAAACTGTCCTATATTTTTTGTATGAGTTCTAGAAATAAGTTTCAAAGAGAAAATCGTAGGTCACAGTTGCCTTCAACTACATGTGTCATTTAATTTAGGAACAGCTTCATGTACTTCCAGATAATCTAAAAAAACACAGTTACTTCTGTATTCCACGAAACACAAAGAACATTTGCAGGGGTAACTACAATTATTGCTTTTTTGTTATGTATTTTGAAATATATGAACAAATTTTACTCTACTTACGCCTTTATACTCTTCTATATTTCATTATAATCTAGAATTGCAAGTATAATTACGTTGTTATTTAACGGAAAATCATTTTTTGTACATCGAGTTACGTATTTCTAGGGAGCAATTTATTTTAGTTTAGTTAGTGTATTTATAAAAATAGCTTTTATAATGCGGAAAGTAACTGAATATTTAATTTGTATCATGTAATACCTACTTCTTACAGTAAATAGTCTATTATGTGCGTGCATGTAAGTCAAAAGTATAAATATAGGGGCAAATTAATTTAGAGAATATGAAAACAAACAGGGTTATTATTAATATATTATTATTTTTAAAGAAACGGTTATTGCCTCCATAATCAACTTAATCAAAAAATGTTCAAAATAGTGATATTTTTATTATTTTTATTAACCTTCATTATCCTCAACTTTGGAATCGGACTCTGTGGTAGCAGATTTAGTACTTAAGTTCTTATAAAACGTCTGATAGTGTGGTGGTATGTTTTTATCTTTATATAGATTCATCAAGTCTTTGTATATATGTTAGGTATCGGTAGCGTAGGTGCATCATACTAATGCCTGATTTCAGAAGGCTCGCTGTGTGCAGCTCTTTTTTTCTCATAACTCTTCCCCTTCTATTTGTCTATTATTTGGTGTCTCATCAGCGAATGCGTATTTTATTTGGAATTTCCCCGGACATTGAGGATCTGCCGAAATCTCTTTAATTTTACTCCAACTCGTGTAGTAAATATATGAGGTCCTAACATATGAAATTTGTAAGGGATTAACCTAATTACTCCCTTACAAAACACCAAAATTGATTTTTCAAAATATAATATATTTATTTAATCAAAATATGGTCCATTGCTATTCATGCACTTTTGCCATTTGATAGGTAGTTTTATTGATCCCTTTACTAAAAAACCATTAGGACGGGTATCGATAAATCGGATTTGAATTTTTTCCCTTGCAAGCAATTATCCAAATTTTGAAAGAAAGCAGCAAGATCCGGGAAGTACGGTGGATATATTGGACATTTGAAGCTCTTCTAATTTCGTAACGTTGTCCTGAAGCAGCAGTGGCCTACGGTGATTGACCAGTCTCGGTTGTTTAGCAGCTAGCTTTTCCATCATGGTTTGCAATTGCTGACAATACACATCTGCCATAATATTCTGGCCAGATTTAAGAAAGCTGAAATGAACAACACAGGCACTAGTCCACTAAGTGCTCACAAGTAACTTTTTTGAGTTTGAATTTTCGCTTGGGGCAGGATTTGGTTAGTTTGCTAGGATTCAGCCATTGCGATGAGTGTTTCCGATTATCGTACAAGATCCACTTTTCATAACAGGTAATGATCCGATTTAAAATCTCTTCATTATTATGCCTGTTGGCTAATAACGCAGCAATCTACGTGCGTTTGTAGATTTGCTCCATTCAATTCATGATCTTTTCAAGCTTTTTTCACCTTCCCAATTTGCTTGAAGTGGATTAAAACAGTTTTGTTACTAACACTGCAGCCTGCAGTTAACTCGGACGTGGTTATCGATGGATCCGCTTCCACATTAGCCTTTAATTCTTCATTATCAACCTTGGACTCTGGCTGCTCACGGGGCTTGTTTTGCACGAAATTTCCAGAACGAAAACATTGGAACCAAAAACGCACCGTGTTTTCTTTTGCAACATCATCGCCATACACATCATTAATTCTTCGAGTCGTTATAAGTATAAACTATGCATTTTAGCGCAATTATGCTTTTCATCTAGAATTTATCATTGTTAGATTGCGGAGATAATGCGATTCTTTATGTGGAAACATATTAATTTGATCAATGACATTTTTGGTTTACTTCTTATTTTGATTGGTCTATTAGTATGTTATCGACAACCTTATCGATTTGGACCACCTTCATCGTTAACTGAATCATAAAAAAATCATAATAATACATACATCGAACTACTACATTTCCTCCTTCTACCATCAACTCCTACATTTTAATAGCGATATTAGTTCTAATATAAGTTAAGGAGTGTCCGGCGCCTTCCTGCAAGATGAACCGACGATATCACGAAGGTGACCGGGATCGATGGAAACAAAACGCGGAAGATCGCACATGGTGTAAGAAATTGGGAAATAAATAAATAATACTCAACAATTAACAGCGCCTTCTAGTCACACGGTATGAAGAGCTTGTGTTATGGGACAACTGATGTTGTCCCATAACACAAGCTTTATATCAATAAATACTTAGATTTTATATACATACATGAAACATATACATAGAAAACTCCCAGACCCACACAAACAATCATACTCATGAATACAAATATCTGCACCGTCCGAGGAATCGAACCCGCGACCATTGGAAGTAAATCGGTGTGCTTAACCGCTAGACCACCAAAGCCAAATTGGGACAGGCCTATATCCAACTGTGGGTAGACACAAGTTGAAATTATGATGATTAGTACTTTAATAGTTTTCAGAAATCTTTAATATAATATTCTAAACGTGAAAGTTTGTAAGTATGGATCTTTGTTGCTCTGTCACGCAAAAACTACTGAATGGATTTTTACGAAACTTTACACTAATATAGCTTATGCATCTGAATAACACAGGATATATGTTTCGATTGGAATAGTATTGAAATTTAACGCGGGCACAGCTAGTAATTTATAACAAAGTAACGTTTGCGGGACCAGCTAGTATTGTATGTGTACCTATTATGGGCAGTGGGAATTAATATTGAATATTATTGCTAGCAATATAAGGTACATTTAGTTCCACGCGGTCCATCCTGGAAACCATTGTTAGTTAATTCCTGTTAGACCTACAATAAGATTCACTGGCAATTGTATATTCGTTTATACATATTTAAAATATAAGTATTCTTTTTATCTATTGTTTTTATATACACTTGTATCAATTCGCTCTTCTATGGTAAATGTCTAAAAGCAGATCGATTTTTCTATCATTTATTATTACTATTCCTGGCAAATTCACCTGATCTCCTGCTCCTCCTATCATCCATCATTGGTGCGCCGTCAGCTTATACAATTAGCTAAAAATAGTTTATTTTTTACTTAATTTTAATTACATGAACATATTCTTAATTTTTTTTTCTTGTAAATACATGCTATTCAAAATTACCCAACATCAGGTATGAAATGTTATGTGTAAAAAAGAAGTAACTACAACTACACTTTACGCATTGTGAAGTTTTGCTGGGGGAAAAGTATGTAACAATAATCACACATAAACTATCAGCTAAAAGTTTCGTAGAAGAAGTAAGTAATTAGAATTACACAATAGTCCTAGATTGTAAGATATAGGAACAAGTATTTAAGTATATTTGCGTTAAACATTTTTTTGTAAATCTTCTTTTAAAATTTACGTAAATACAATTATGACTTTATGAGCGGGATAATTGTAAAGCGAATAAATGCAAATACGCATACCTCTATTTTATGCTGGAATTTTATGTTTTCTAAAGTCGCAAAATTTTAGTATTTTTGCATTTATTCTTTCATTTTTGTCGATAGCTTCATGAGATTTTGACAGAAGGTGTAATCCGTGAAGCTCTCTTTATCTATGTAATAATAAATTTTTGACGCTAGTGTAGTTGCGGCCTTTTTACCGGGATGTGCGATATCATTTTTAAATGACGTACAACATAAAACATTTTAGGGTCGGCAACGCGCACGTGACACCCCTGGTGTTTAAGGCGTCCAGAGGCTACAGTAACCCTTTATAATTAGATGGACAGTATGCTTCTTTGCCACCAATACATTGACCTAACTTTATGAGTATACATTTTGTATTATGCGAGAATCGTACCCGCGACCGTCAGTAGGCGGGTTCCTATGCCGTCAAGGTTACCTTGATACTTTTTTGACGGATATTATTTTTTTGTGTCTGTCTATATTTCCTTATGGGATTATAAATTGTATTCGGGGAATTACCGATGGCGGCGAAGTATCATAACATACATGTATAAATTGTTGTGATTCACTGTTAGAGATTTTCCTTGTTTGTTTTGTAGGTAGGTTCTTAGAGAGTGTTTTTATTATTACGATATAGACCTATTTTAAGAAAAAGTGGTTTATTATCTGAGTTACTATTACCACAGATAAGAGAATATTACTTGCTATTACTAATTTATTTGATTAAAATAATATTTTTACATGTAATTAAAATATAATATCAATCGACATGGAATTCGATTCGATATATATGTACGAATATAAATATATATGATGCCTCTTGATGGTAACCGTTGCCTATATATCTACATGAACATTTATTCTAAATATCTGTAAGTTGATACTCGTAGTGATAGTTGGTTATTTTGATCATAGCATGAACTTTGATATTATTATGGTACCGCCTGCTACATCCTATCGACCCTCATGCTGAAATCTGGGCCCGACGGGACGAACTTGGAAACAGAAGCTATATAAATTTTAATGCTTAAAAATAAATAAATAAATTATCGAGTTCTTCCCCAGGTTACCCATTGAAATATATATTAGTTAACCATAGTC